ACTACGGTTATTACTGTGATTAATATACCAGTGCGTTAGTAATAAACAAATAAAATTATTTGGTTTTAATACACAGAGAAGATGATACTCTCCACAAACAAAGTTCACGCGGAATCCTACAGAATATCTTCTACCAAAAATCGAGAAATATTCCACAAATATCCACAATTTCCCTATAACATCAACGAGATTGGTTCGATAATTCCCGTAGTATGATCTTAAGGCATCAATCACGCGAAACGGGAACGCGGGAGGTTCTCGGTCTCCGCGCGCGGCGTCCGTCGCGCGATGCTAACCTTTAATTAAAATCTTTCGATCCCCGCCGCCAGAAATGAGGCGAAACGACGCGAACGGCCGCGCAGAAACACGCGAGTAACGTCTCATTAGGTACAGATTGACCTAATTACGAAAGGAAACGTCTGGCGCACTCGAGTCACATCTCGTCGGCAGTTGGTGCGTTGCCTGCCTTTCCGTGTAAAATTGGAAATCGTTGTCTATTTATAGACGGTTTTCCGATAGGGTCACCGATGCCGGACAAATATGGAACAATGTGCTCAGAGGATGCAACAGGGACTGTGACTTTTCACGGTTTCCCCTCCTCTCTCTAACCCCTCCACTTTCCCATTCCAACCTCTTCGTTAAATTTCCTTCTCCATGTACGATCTCTTTTTTCTTTACTTCCTGACAAATGCCATCACGTTACGGATGTTTCGTCTATTTTTTATATATTCCATTTTTATCACGTTTCACGTATCTAGGTAAAAAATTTTTGACTTTTTTATCTCACGCTTATGCTACTGATTAAAATATTGAGGCAAAGTAAATAATATCTGTTTCGTGATTGAGCTAAATTTTTAACGTACATATATTGTATATTAGTCATTAGAATAGAAAAGATGAAAATAACCATTATTCGGAATGTGTTAGAACTATTTTAAACTTAGAGTGGTAACGTGGTGTCACGATGACATCGCTCATTGTTTGTTTAATGAACTATGGAGAGGTTGATTTACTATATCTTTTGCGTAAATAGAAATTATTGAAACAGTTTATATTATATAATAATATGATAATATATGTCTGTTATATTAAATAGTTTTAATATGAAATCTCATTCACGTGTGCAAGTAAATACTTTCCTAAATCTTCAACTGAAATCGCATGTGATACAAGGTTACTCTTTGTGCACGAAGAAATCACGTTACTATTCTATTATCGTTCACGCGTTAACAGTCGAATTGTCTTCCGCTGCGAAAATTAATTGGGAACAACTATAAATCATTTGCAATTCGTTACACTATCTACTCCCCCATGTTACTAAATACCTTTCTATTCCATATCAATTTTCGTATTGTAATTATTTTCAACCAATTTAAAAGCGCCGGAGACCATTATGACATTTCGAATCGTTTTCTAAAAATTCTAAGCAAACATTCATCAATATTTCCACTCCTTTATATTTGAATTTGCCTATTACAAAATCTCATCCATTACAGTCTAAGAAAAGTTTCTGTGCCTTTTCGGTGATTTCAATAACTTCAACAATTTCAATAATTCCAGTGTTAACCCTTTGCGAACGAAGATTCTTTGAAATGTACAAAACCTTCAACAGATGAAGCTAATTACATATTAATTGCTAAAACAATAGCAATAACAGGAACTGCACATTAATCTCTTATCGTCCGGGTAATTAAATCATTTGTTTGCGACATAGTCTTCCGAATATGAACGTTTTGTCTCGCCGAAATGTCGACATTCGTCCGCAAAGGGTTAAATATATTCAACCAAAAGTTTATCGACCGTTTGAAAATTGCTACCCTAGATGATAACCTTGACTCCCCGAAGCATCGATCTGGAAAAAGGGAAAAAAGAAATTACGAGTCGCCGGAACGAGTGGCCCAGCGGTTCGGGGAACAAAACTTTACTGTCCTGTTTATGCTCCGCACCGCGTAAACAGTAAATCGAAGCCGAAGCGTCCAAGGCTACCCGCTCTGTTTACGAAGTCTCTTTATTCATCGACGATTCCGTGCTCCGCACGGGACTACGCCTGGTTCTTGTCGCGAGGGAAACACCGCGCTCGTCTATCGCTCGTACGGCCACGCGCACACCGCCCCGCCCCGTTCGATTAATTACTTCGAGTTTGCTTGAAACACCCGACCGAACATTTCTGCAACCACTTTTTTCCTACCGAGGACGAATGTAATTTTCAGTAGGCCGATACCGATTGTCGAGCGGTCGTGATATATGCGGACACAACCACGGCTTCAAGCACTCAAGCCGAATTTATAATGGTATTTATAGTGAGGCGAAGAATCGGGAAGAGCTGATACGGAAATTGATGGCGGAATCAGTGAAAATTAGTTTTCATGTGGGAGGCCTGTTATTCGTCTTGCGAATGTGAAATCTTCTAGATGCGAAGAGATTTATTAGCTGGTTTTGACTGTCTTATTCAACTGTATTTTAATTTAATGGTAGTTTTCTATCGCCAGAAAGATTTAATTATTGTGAAAATATTTCGACTTTAATATATTGACCTTAAGTGTCATGTTTTAATTATTTGGTTATAAAATAAGTGTTATGAAAGTGAATTGAATTGGCCTACGTTGATCTATTCTACTATGTAATGATAGATTAATAGTCAGGAATTCTTTTATAATATGGAGCACATTAATTATTAGAAAAATTGTACGATTCTAAGTGGTTGAATCTGATCGTTTTGTTATAATCGTTTAGTTACTTCTTAACAAATGTATGAATACTAATTGGCTGACTTCAATCATCCTATTCTACTTTGTGATAATCAATTAGGAATCGTGAGTTCCTTTACGAATATAGAACATCCTAGTTATTGTGAAAATGTATAATTCGACTTGGCAGACTATGACCGTCCTATTCTACTAAGTGATAGACGATTAATAGTCATGACTTCTTTTATACATATGGACCGCTTTAATCACTATGAGAACCGTGTAATTCTACTTGGCTGGCTTTGACAGGCTCCTTCTACTATATATTTCCGTATCTACTTGGCTGACTATGACATACTCATTCTACTATATAATAGTCTATTCATCACGAATTTCTTTACAACTGTGAGGTGATATACATATAGTATCGAATATTTGACTCTACTTTACTGACTTGGAGCGTCTAATTGTAGTATACTCTACTATGTAGTGGCTATGTATTGATTAAAGTTGAATCGACATAATTGTTATTAACGTGATTTCACAATACTAGATAATCATCACTAAATTAGTAAATTACAATTACATTTATTAATTATCTATTTAATTGTTCGTAACTTTTAATGTTAACATTCAAGAAGAATGGAAAACATTCCAATAATAGACCTTGGTTGAAACAATAAAAAACATTTGAAGTTATTAAAGCATGTGTGTAATATATATGAACATTGGAATAGAATATAAATGTTAATATAAAGTACTAGTCAATAAGAGATACAACATACAGTGAAGAGCATACTGAAAAATGTTTCAAATAATTCTTATCTCCTTCGTAGCATTTTAAAATTCAGTAAATAAATTTTAATTTATTTCCCATGTTAAGAAAGTAGTTTCGAAAAGTTCCACTTTGCAGATAATCCTCGAAATACACATCACTATATCACACACTTCATTTTGTAGTTTCACAGAAAATTCCTTTGGAACTAATTTGAAAATACCGTCTTCATCCGTATGTATGTAGTTTGTTAAACACCAAATTCTTGCAAGTGGCGAATCGCTTATCACAAAGTCTAATTCAATTCTTCATAATGCACAACAAACAAGAAATATTATAATTTTAATTTTTTAGGTCGATATTCAAACACTATAAACTAAGAAGGTAACTATTATCGTAATTCGTTAAACACAAAAACATCGATCTGAATTGTAACCAACTACATTCTATCAATTAATAATTATTTAAAGACTATTCTTGAGAAAAACAAGCAAAGGAAGAAATTATAATTTTATCGGTGGCTGGTACATGAATCCAAATACTTCAATTTTCCATTCGTGTGTCACCAAAATCCACCATTTTCACTATTCCAATTGACAATTAACGTGTCCGATACCTCACTCATCAAACTAAACACACAACTAACCAAAGAAGAGTACATCGCTGAACAAGAGACTCGATACAAAACTGTTTACTAAAATCTTCCTACCACTTGTCACCACACCATCACATTTCCCAATTCTCTACCACACCGAACAATCATTTCCGGTAATAGCGCCTGTTTCACCAAATCAAACCCCCGATTAAACAAAACAGAAGAAGTCACTTAACGAAACACTCCGAATAAAATCGTTTATTCGACTGTCTCCATCACTTGACACTGCCACTATTTCATTCTCAAATTCTCCACCGCTCCAATCATCTACAACCATCATCCCCCACTGTTCACACTGAAACCATCCCAGCCCCGCAAAGGCGAAACAAAACGAAACGCAAAAATCCGTCAATCGCTGAACACACTTCCACAAAGTACACAATCCAAACCACCTTCTAATTGCCACGACCAAGGCGAACAGTTGAGTCAACTTCCCAGGATTATCCAGTCCATCCAGCATCTGTCATCGGGGAACGTATTAGGCACCGGCCACGTTCCATTCACAACGCTGTCACGGAATATCGCGATCGATCACCGTCGAGCACGCGATCGACGATTACGTTAATCGATCGGAGGAAGCTGAACATCAACACGAAAAGAGAATTTCCACGAACGAACGAACCATTTCCTCCGAAAATCACATCGGGAAAACGGTGAAGAAAAACGTAGAACACTGTGTCAAAAGAGAAAAGAGCAGGTAAAGGAACAAAAGAAAAAAACAGAGACCGTGATTCACAAATCTTGCAAATTAGCCAGCGCGCACGAGCTCCAGAGACGCGACGGGCCGCGATTGCGCGCGTGAAGCGTGTAAATCACGCGCGTCACCCGCTTCTGTTTGGCGCGTAAAAACGATGGCGCGCGCGACAGGGTATCATCGCGTTACCTTGTCAGCGAGATCGTCCGGTGTCCCGCGAGCCAGCCGGGGCAGCGATTCCCTCACATTTTCGGGGTAGCGTATGCTCGCGTCCGCGCGATCCTCTTGATCCCCTTGATCGTGGTCGCGGGACGCAGCTTCCTTCTTCGGAAACAGTTAAACAACCTTGATCCTCGCGGAGAAATAGGATGAACGAAGACTATCAGAGCCAAGGAACCAAGGTTGCTAATAGGGGTAGTCGCGAAGTGGGTAAAACACCTTGGAATACTTCTCTTCAGTTGCAATGATACTTCCTCTCTTCGAAATTCCACTTTTTATGGCTCACGATCAACCGACCCTTTCTCTCCTCCTCCTTCTCCTCCTCGACCCTTCTTTTTTCTCGTCTCACACGGTGGTCGCGTGTGAACGCGCCCCGTTATGGCGCCGCTGTCGGCGATCAGCGACGACGACGCAACGTTCACCGCTACGCGGCACGCGCCTACCAATGCCCATCTCTCTCTCTCTCGTTTCCTGGTGGCGATCAGCGACGGCGTTCCGACCACCCGCGTCCGCGGAAACTCCGGGGCAGGAGGACGTTAATCGAGTCCGCGGGATTATCCAGCGAATGATCCCTCTCCTAGAACCCGGTGCACTGTGTAGAAGAGAGAGGGAGAGAGAGATGATGTACGGGGGGTTGGATCGTCGATCCGACGATCGCGATCTCACAGAACGCTGCTGCAGGGAGTGGGGATGGTTGAAACACGACACGAACACCGGGGGGCGGCTGACACCCGTTATACGCGTGTACGCGACACGACTCGCGGCGACGGGCCCGACGAGGTGCACGACGACGGCGCGACGACGGTGACTAGGACGACGCGACTACGACGACGACGGCGGCAGCCGGCTCGCGAGGACCTCTTCCGTCGCACGATTCATGACCACCGACGGAGAGCACGTCGCTCTCGTGGCGACGACTGCGCCGCTGCGCGGTATCTCGTCGAAACGAGCCTACGGGGGCGGGAGAGGGA